TGTTCCCTTGGTCTCAAGCAGGCAAGGCTACTCAGGGTCCACTGCTGCATCAAGGCTGGCTTCTCTAACAAAGGCCCCTGTGACGACACAGCTTCCCCAAGAACACAAGCACAGTGCCTCTACTGAGTCACCTCCCATCAACAGCATTCTCTAAACTCTGAAGCGAGGCCACCAGCCTAGGACTGTCCTCACCGGCACACACACTCTGCACAGCACACATCTGGAGATGGGAAGTATGCTAGAAACACAGTTGGCATTCTTTCGACAGACATCTGTACATCCCTAACAAGTCCTTCAACTATTTAACAGCCAATAGTAAACCTCTCTACTGAGGGCAGAGTGGACCCTTGATCCACAACTGCCCCTTCCCATTTTCTTGTTGTAAACATTTGTGTAGGAAAGAAGGGTGGTAGAAGGCCCTCAAAGTCAAGGAGAAACCTGGGCAACACCAACCATGTACAGTAGGCAGTAGTCTTGGGTCAGCCTAGTAAATATTCTAAATATAAACTAATCTATTTTAAAAAGCTGTTGTTTCTGCTAGGCTATTTTGAAATTTAGTCTACACTTTACAAGCACTCAAGTGGTTGCAATGAAGGGTGGGGGTTGGAACAATGCCTGTTGAAAATGTGGAGAATATGGCCCCTTCCACTTCTCAGGTGGGAATCTGCTAGTGTGGCTGCTTTGTAAGCAGTCCGACTACCCTCAAAACTGAACACAAGTGTGTCTCTGTTTTTAATCTTATTGTACTCACTAACGAATGCCTATGAGGCCAGTGGGTGTGCGGTGGGCACCACAGTGGGTGTGCAGTGGGCACAACACTGTGCGTGTGGAGGCCAGAGCAGCGGCTTCTCTCCTTCCACTTTCACATGGCTCTGGGAATCAAATCAGGTTCCCAGGCTTGTGCAGCAAATACCTTTACCTGCTGAGCCATCTTTTCAGAGTTCTGATTCTTGAGTGAAAACTCGGGTATTATCATTGTCACAAATACAACTTTCTTTTGTTTACGTGAAGAAAAGGTAGACTTACTCTGTTCATTTCTGTAAAAGCCTCTGCCAAGACACCCAAGTTTGAGCTGCACAGTTCATCCAAATGGTGTCTCATGGGAAAAGGGAGGCTAATTCAAGCTCTTAACTCCATTACGGAACTCTTTTGCCCCGAGACAGTCATCAACTCTTCAGTACAGTACATGGCGGCAATGTTTCATGGATACTACCCATGCATCATAAAGAATAACGTCTTGAACTGGCCAGTGGCTCAGCACTTGCAACCAAGCCTAGCCACCTGAGTTCAGTTGCCAGGAAGCACAAGGCGGAAGGGAAGAAAGTGGCAATCACTGTCCTCTGCCTCCGCATGCACACCACAGCACAGATACACACACAATAATATTTCTTTTGTAAAACTCATATCCTCCATCATATTTCAACCCAAACAACTTCTACTAATTTCTCATGGAATAAGCATATTAACAATGTGCTTATTGTTTATCTACTGTTGCTTAATTTTGGGTAAAGCTAGCAGGGAGCCAGGAGCTGGGAGGCGGGAAGCGGCCCGCCGCTCCTCACTACAAAAATTATGAGCATAAGTGATATGGCTGACCCTAGGTCCAATCTCCAGTACTAGGACCCAAAGACATGACTTTCTTTGGTACTACACAATAAAATGCACCACCATGTGGAAGATGTAACCATCTCAGTGAACCAATACTTAACACCTGACCAACAAATTGTTACAAATCCAAACGTGCATAAGATCCATTAGATCTCAACACACTTAAGTATAAATGAACATGAAAAAAAACAGATAGGATTTCAGCTTCCATCTTGCAACTAACCTTTAAGAAAGTGCCAGTTGTTGAGTTTTGATGTCATACCAAATAAAAATATCCACAACTATTGCCTCCCCCTTTATAGCCATTAACTGTGCCTGGCTGGATGTTCTCCATATATATATATATATATATATATATATATATATATATATATATATATATATTTCAGCCTAAACAACATACTGCAATAGATTGAATGCTGAAGCAGAAATAACCTAGCTGTTTGTATTACTTGATATTAAAGAATTACACAAATTAAGTCTGGGGTATAACTCTGTGGTAGCAGCCTTCCTTGCCTAGAACAACTCCAAAAACAAAAGGTGGGAGGAGGGCAAGTGAAGGGAGGGAAAGGAGAGAAGAGATTGAGAAAAAGCATGGAAAACTTACAAATATGTAAAACACTACCACTCTTCTCACAAGATATGTTGTCCTGCTTTTTCTCATTTAAAAATATGTTATTTATATTAATATGTAATGTGTTTAAGACTACAATTATAAGTGAATTAACAAAAAATTGTAACAAGATAAATATGAATATAACCTACAAAAAATGTAAAAGGAATCCTGAGTTCAAATTGAAAATATCTGATTTAAGAACAGACTATGAATATAGGCTGCACAACTCTAATCTAAAATTCCAAGCCCCAAACCTTCTGAACACTAACCTGACACCACCAACAGAAAGCTCACAGCTGACCTCACCTGCCACACTGCAGACAAAATGTAGGCACGCTAAACACTTTCATGCAACATCACATTCGACATATATACAATGTCTATCATGTTCAGATGGGGTACCGTCTTCAAAACATCTCAGAGGTATGGAAATATTCCAAAATCTAAAACACCTGTGGGCCCCAAGAATATCAGATAAGAGATGCCCAAGTTGCATCAAATCCTTGCAAACCAAGAATAAAAATATGAAATTATTAATGGAGAGACCCATTTCCTAGGAAAATTAGATGAAAGCTGAACATGAATATAATGCAAAATCAAAGCACCATTTTATGTAACATCAATAAAGACAAACGGAATGCATACATAAAATTTACTCTGTATGCCGGGTGGTGGTGGCACACACTTTTAATCCCAGCACTCAGAAGGCAGAGGCCAGCTTGGTCTACAAGAGGTAGTTCCAGCACAGGCTCCAAAGTTACAGAGAAACCCTGTCTCAATAATAATAATAATAATAATAATAATAATAATAATTACTCTGTATATCCTAGAAACATCCATGTGCCCACAAATGTTTTGATAATGCACCCAATACCAACATATGACAGAGAAACAGTCAATAACTGGAAAACAGGTGTTTAAAATAGCAGCCACCACCAACAGGAGGCAGGCATTCCAAGGTTCTGTCCAGGGGACAGGCCAAGATCCTCAGCTTTCCAGCAACATCCCAGGGCCGTCTGCTCAGGGTGTACCTATTCTATTTTAAACTTACATGTTTCCAAGAAACAACAGTGAGACTACACACTCGCAGCTTCAAAGAAGAAAATGGATCACGGGAATTAACCTGTGCTAATGCTGCCCAGCCAGCCTGAAGATTTCCTTTGGCTGATTAACTGCGGGAAACTGGCAGCAAGAAGAGTAATGCCCACCAAACACCGCCTATTACACGCTACAAAAAGACACTTGCATTAACTTATTTCATGCTTGAGATCATCCTAAGGGCATAAACACCATCATCTCCATTTTTGGCGTGGAGAGAGTTGAATCCAGAGGATAAACAAATGCCTACAGCAAGCCAGGACACAAATTCAGCCTCTCGGGCTGAGCCCCAACGCCGTAGCCACTGCACGACAGCATGTGAGGTTTAAAATGTAGCACCCACCCTTAACCACGTCCAGCGTTTACCTGGACACCCACTGCTGAAAGACAGAGCCTGAACAATGTGCAGAGGCTCACCAATTGCCTTTTGCTGTCTGAACTCTGAGGCGCTAAAGCGCTGGAGCTATTAGAGATGACTAATGCGAAAGAAGCGTAAAGACAAAATCCAGAATGTAGGCCTACGTTAATAAACAGTAATACAATTTGTATTTGTAATATAAATTAAAATATTTCACACATCATGGACCTCCTCTTCCTCCACTAACGTGGGTGAATCATTACACAGCTATGTAGCCAGACTTCTCTCAAGAGAATGCTTCAATTCAAGAGGAGAGCAAGATGGTTCTGCAGGCAGGGGCATCTGCCCATGACCACCTGAGGTCCATCCCCTGCACCCATAAAGAGAGAACCAAAACTCTCCTCTGACCTACACCTAAGCGCACGCGCGCGCGCGCACACACACACACACACACACACACACACACACACACACGAAAACGGGGGGTACCTCAATCAAAAGCATTATTGCTACAAGGCTGAAGGGGTGGCTCAGTGTTCCCCGGGCACTGGCTGCTGTTCTTCCAGAGAACCTGGGAGGGTCTGATTCCCAGCCCCCACATGGTGGCTCACAACAAAAGTACTCCAATTCCAGGGAATCCCATGCCCTCTTTTGACCTCCTCAGGCATCAAGTACACACGTGGTGAACATGTATACATGCAGCAAGCAAACACTCGTACATATATATAAAACAAATTCTAAAAAAAAATAAAAAATCTTGATTGCTACCACAAAAGCTTGTTACATTGATGTATTTCACATTTTGTCAAACACAAAAAGCATCTGTTTCAGAGTTTAATGAAGATTACAATTTTAAACACTGATCTAGCAATTCAAGGCAAAACTCCACGGTCACTCAAAATGAACGTGTAACTTCACGGTAGAATATGACTCAGGAGAAGCGGAACGGTAAACCTAGCAAATGGGGAGAAATCCGGGTGGACCAAGGCAAGGCGGAGTGCCTCTCTTAGAGAGGTCGGCTTACAGATCTCCAAGGACTTGGTTTTGACTTTTAAAATCTGTGCCTTCCATAAACCATTTCTTTTTTGGTCAACTAGACCGAAAACATTCCAAAGCACAATTACAAAAATAACTTCCTATCTCAGGAGAGCTGTGAGGATAACTCGGAGGCTGGCCAAGTGAGCGCAAGCGCTGGCCACTCGTCCCCGCCGACTACGAACTGCCCTGCACCGCATGGGCGCCGTTCCCATTCCCGACACCTGGAGGGAGGGCTCGCCACCGAGAACCCGCCATGCCAGCCAGCGGGGTGGCCGCCGTTACCTCACAGAGCGAGCGAGCCCAGCAGCGAGGTACCGCAGACGAGCCTTTACCCTGTCAACGTCCACCGGGGCTACCCGGGGCGGTGTTGGAACTGCCTTCCGCGGCGCTAAACTGTCAACCAAGAGCCAATCAAAGCGTCCCGGGGCGCGGCCGGGCGGAGGTCGGGGGAGTGGCGGGCAGCGGAGCGCGGCGGGCAGCGCACGGGGCTGCGGCGGCTGCGACTCGCTCGACAGACAGCCGGCCGGCCGGCTTCCCCGCCTCGCAGCGCGCCTCGCCCCCGCCCGCAAGGTGAGCGGAGGCGCCGCCGGGAGCCGGGCCGGCGGGCGGGCTGGCAGGCTGGCGGGCGGGCGGGCGGGACGCGCGGACAGCGGGGACGCTCACCGGCTTGGCGTGGGCGCTGGCGGGGACTGCGCTCGGCCTCCGCCCGCGGCTCCCGGGCCGCACGGGGGAGGGTCCCTCGCCGCCCGCCGCCCGCCGCCCGGTGTTTTCATACAAACCCCGGTGGCAGGAGAGGCGGTGGCGGCGAAGACGGCTGCGGAACCTGCCCGCATCCCGGGGCAACGTCAGCGCGGCGCCCCGCCCAACTCACGCCTCGGAGAGCCGGCTAGCGGGCGCCCGCAAGGCGCGTGCGCGCGAGGGAGGGGCGCCCCCCCCCCCCCCCCCACACACACACACACGCCCGGGGAGGGGCGGGACGCCAGAGGACCGGTACGGGCGCGTGCCCGCGGGCGGGGGCGGGGCGTGTGAGAAGGAGCCGGGCGCGTGCGCGCGGGGCGGGGCGAGGCTCTCGCCTGGGAGGCGTGGGTGCCAAGGCGGCGGGTGGGGCAGGATGGGTCTATAGGTCTGAGCTCTTGGCTGTGGGCGCTAGCGCCCTCCGCTGAATGCGGGCCACCGGCCAGTGTAACCGAGATCGACACGTTCTTCAGATGCCCGCAACCTTTTTTTCCGGAACTAAGCCGGGGCCCATCATTGCCAACCACCCAAGCTGCTAGGAGGCTTCGTTGAGGCTCGGGATGGTGGTTCTTAGTTCCCCAGATCCCATAAAATCTTGGGGACACTGTGGTAAGGCTAGTCCTTTCCTGACCCCAAGGAGACCCAGAACAGGCTGGGAAGGCTGTGCCGCCTGGCTTCTGCAAACACGAACTGCACCCCTGGTCAGACCCGGATAAAGGAGATAATCTGAACAAGATGCCATGCTGGTTCGTCTCGAAAATATTGCTGCGGAGTTGCTCGCTAAAGGCAAAATCCTAGAAACAAGATTGTGTTTTGTTTGCGTTTAAACGCTCCGAGATACATGGTTAATAAAGACATCATTTGCTTTTTTAAGGAGCACAGATCATGCTTGGTGTTTATGGTAGCTGGTAAAGGATATAAAATTATCACGGCAGAATAGGGGACTGAACTGAGACCTTTGGGGGTTTTATTTTGTTCTTATTGTTTTGCTTAAGCAAAATGTAGCAGGTTCCTGAAGGCGATCAAGGTGTGGAATTGCTTCATGCAGTTTGCCTTGAGGGCTTTACTAAGAGGACAAGCGACTGCCATTTTAGTAAATGTTATCATTTTCCCCGTGTGAGCACAAAATGATCGATTATAGAACTTAAAATATCAGTAAACCACACCCCAAACTTTCCCCATCTGAAAATATGATTATCTATGAATATTTATTACTTCAAAATGTTTAAATACTAGTATTCATAAGATATTTAAAGAACATATTTCTAAATAAATCAACTTGCAATATTGAAAGACATAAATGTGTACGTGTTAGAATTTGAATTTATCTTTAGCAAAGTACTGTTAATGGTCAGAACAAAGACTTAGAAAATTAGCCCATACAGCTGGGTAAATAGCATTTGGCTTTGCAATGATTGCAAACACATAATTTGATATTTTAACATTTTTTTATGGTGCTTGGCATGGTGCTTACCTGCAACTCCGCAGTCAACCTGTGTTATGTGATTTTTTTAACTCTTTTGGCTCTTTAGGGGAGCCCACCACCTAGCTCCCAAATAAATCACACTCAGCAGACTTATTCTTCATTATGAATGCCTGACCTAGGTTTGGCTTGTTTCTGATCAGCTGGTCTTATCTTAAATTATCCTGTCTATCTTTTACTTTGGGCTTTTATCTTTCTCCATTTCTATATACCTTACTTTATTTTTTTCTCCGTGGCTTACTGTGTAGCTGGGCGACTGGCCACTGGTGTCCTCCTCTCCTCTCTTGCTCCTCTTCCTCTCTTTCCAGAGTTCTCCTATTTATACTCTTTGCTCACCAGCCCCACATATGCTCCTGCCTTGTTATTGGCTGTTCAGCTCTTTATTAGACCTATCAGGTGTTTTAGATGGGCAAAGTAATATAGCTTCACAGTTAAACAAATACAGCCTAAACAAAAGTAACACACCTTAAAGTAATTTTCCCCAACAAACCTGATACCCCATAGGTATTCCATAAAACTTTGCTTATTTCAGCTTTAGCGGTGGAGAGTGAAGATTGCTCTTGCTAATTTACCTCTCAACCTTTAATAAAGTAGCTCACAAAATACAACAAACTTAACTGTGGAACTGTAGCTGGAAGATTGAGAACTTGGCCTCACCATGAGCCTGCAGTGTCGATGGGAAGGAGCTTTGTGAAGGGAGAAAGGTTGGTCCTGACACTTCTGACCCGGCCGGTCCTCTGGAGTTGCAGGATCATTGCAGTTCTTCATCATATTCAACATCAACAATGTACTGAGTACCTATGCAAGTCAGAGGGAATCATCTGGAGATCTTGGGAAATTAAGCAAATAATTACACAGGACAAATATCTAACAATTGCCCTGGGTCTGTCTAAACGTTAGACTCGAAAAGATTTACTACAAATAGGCCATAGAACGGAAATGCAAGATGAATAACTTGAGCTGAACCAAAAAGAAAGAGAGAGAGAGAGAGAAAAGGAAAGGAAAGAAAAAGAAAAAGAAAGAAAACGGCCAAGCTGGGAAGTGGGAGGAACAACCCTCGGATGGCACACAGTTGCAGAAGTTTGTACTGTGGCAAATGGCTTCTATTTGGTAGCTGCAAATGACATGGTATATGCGGTCACACCTATCAACTACCACACCTTTATTCTCTTCATTTGTAGCATGGAATCTGAATGTCCCTGACAACTAAAATCTAGCAGATTATAGCCATGGTCTGTAAAGGCCCCAAAACATGGGCCCATTCCCACTTTGTCTGACAGTCAGAGGGTCAGGATGTTGTTTAAATGATTGACAAGCCCACCTTGTCTGACCGGGCATCAGGAGGTTGCTCACATGATCAACAAGCACGGTTGTGCATCGCAACTCAGGATGTGATTGCCTGGTTCTTTTTTTTTTTTTTTTTTTTTTTTTTTTTTTTTTTTTTTTTTTTTTGGTTTTTTTGAGACAGGGTTTCTCTGTGGCTTTGGAGCCTGTCCTGGCACTAGCTCTTGTAGACCAGGCTGGTCTCGAACTCACAGAGATCCACCTGCCTCTGCCTCCCGAGTGCTGGGATTAAAGGCGTGCGCCACCACCACCCGGCTTGCCTGGTTCTTTTAACGTTAAAATGGCTCATTCAGGTAGGTCCCTGCCATCCTGACAAGCGGTCAGGGTATGCAAATGTACTTCTGCTTCTTTAGTAACCTTGAGGTCACCTGGGGAGGAGCAGCCTTCAGGACACCTGATCTAGAGTACCTTGGCTACCTAGATAACTGGAAGCTAATGATTTGGTGTCTCAGAGTGATAAAGCGATTGTGAGTTATCCTTTGTATCACGTTAATAAAGTCTTTTGTTCCCTCCCCCACCTTACATTGGGTATAAAAGCTGTGGAAAAATAACCCTTGTGATTTCAGTCACTGGAATGCCCTCCCCATACTTTCTATGGTTTCTGTCCTATTATTTTTTATGTGTCTTCATATTCTTTACTTATATTTCTAAATTCCCATGCTCCACTCTGGTAAGAATATTTTTATCAAGGCCAGTCCAAGGAAACAACTGGGAAACTGAGATAGTAAATTAAATTGAAAATAAAACAAAAAGAGGGTTTCCCTCCAGATTATATGATGGCGGAGGCCCACAAGTTCTAGGTTACTGAGATGTGTGGCCTCTGGCTTTGCACAGCTACTGCTTCGGTACTGCTGGGAATAGAGTTTCCTTCCATTCTTTTGGTTGTTTTGAGACAGGGTCTCACTGTGTATCCCTGGCTGACTGAGAACTCACTTCATAGACCAGCCCGAGGCTGTCCTTGAGCTAACAGAGATAAGCCTTCCACCTCCTGATCACTGGGATTAAATGTGTGGTACCATGCCCATCTTTCTTTCCAGTCTTAACAATATAGCATTTGTAATGATTGTTCTGTCTCTTTCAGAGACAAGCCACGGATGACCTTGAATTTCCAATCCCCCCCCCTCATCCTCTGATTGCTAGGACTACAGGTGTAGGCTGCCATTCTTGTGAGATGCTGGTCATCAAACCCATATTTTCATGGATATGAGGTAAATACATTACCACATTATTAACAAATTTAGACAAAACCCCCTTTCAGGAACACATCCATCCTCTCAGAATTAGACCATATCGTGATTTTTCTCATCACAATGGGATCGGTATTTCAGGACAATAATTTCTCGCTGTATCAGTCAGCCAGACCTTGGGCGGGGGAACAGCTCTAACTCACTGGTGGGCAAATACTTCGTTGCGGTGTAGTGCTGGTGAAATTCCTATGTCTTCAGGAACTTTCCGGAAATCGACTTGGTAGGGTGCTAGAGAAAGATGTTCATCACTGGAGATCCTTCCCTGCAAAACAGCCTGAAGGGGTGCTAGTCAGGGTGACAGTGGACTTCAACAGACAAGTGTGGCAGGAGCCGCCTGTGTAGATAGATTAGGGGTATCAGCTGCTGTCAGACTCTGTCTCACTGTGAGCACTCACCAGAGTGCCTTAGTATCAGTGAATCTGCACTGGTGAGTTCATACAAACCTTCCATCTTGGCCACAGTAGCTGTAAACATTGCAGCTCAGATGCAAAGGGATCCTGGCAGTCAGGAGCCAAGGAACACCACTAGACAGCCAAGTGTAGCCTCCAGGGAAAGGTTTCCCCAATATAAGTGTAACTCTGCTCCAGCAGGGAACGGTTTCCCCAGAGAAGCTGTTGCAGGTAAGCTCAGGTCCCCCACAGTGTATCAACTCTGCTCGGCTAGGGGAAGGTTTCCCCAGTTATAGTGCTGGTTCTGCTCTGCCCTGCTCCTGCTGGGGGGCGCGGGAGGGGGGGGGGGGAGAAGTTGTGACTTCTCTGGTCTACTCCATTCCAGAGGAAAGAAGGTCTC